GAAAGTTAAGAGACAGGGATAAAACTTTTATGTTCACTACTTTGCCCAGTTCCTAACATATCAAGGTGAAACTCACGTTTGGAGTTGATTGACTGTCACAGCGCTGGGAGAACAAGGCTGCAACGTTGATGAAAGGAAGCACACATACAAATTCCAGAGAGCTCAGCGCTGCAGCGCTGAGAAAGTAGCGCCGCAGCGCTGCGCGACTTTCCTAAAAATAAGAGAAGTTAACGGGATTTCGAAAATTAGGTTATTTGGAGCCTATTTAAGGAGCCTTTTTCAGAGATTTTGGAGAGGGAGGCAGCAAGCAACTATTCTGAAGATTTGGAGCCAAGAACAAAGCAAGGAAACAAGAGAATTGGAGAGAGAATCAAGATCACAAATCTCTAACTATTAGTTTTCTCTCTTACCTTTGTGTTTTTCTATTTTCTTTGATTTGGATTCATGGCTAAATTTCTTTGGAATATGTTTTTATTAGATACTATGAACTAAATTATTTTTCTAAGATTACAATTGAACTCACATGTAATCTAATTTTTAATCTCTTTCTTGCTTATTTTCAATGGAATTTGAATTGTTTATTTCAATTTGTTCTTAATACTTTTAATTGGTTGGCCACCAATTAAATTGATCTAGGAACCTAAACAAACTTGAAAAAAGGAGTTTGGTGTAGACTAAAATTGGGATAGCATATGATCATATTAATTGATTTGCGTATAGGATAGGGATATACCTATAAGCCATATGTAGCCAGATTAGAGCCTGAACTTAATGAGTCTATTTTAATTTCAATTCACATAGGGATATAGTGTTTTAATTAAAATAGATATTTTTATAAGATGAGTCGGGAGACCCTTATAAATAATTTAGGACTCTAGGTTAGCAATTCAACCCATTGAAATAAGTTAAGAAAGAGAGGTAAGATTTAAATGAAGTGTGAGGGATATTGTAATCCTAGGCTTGTTTGATTTGCTGTTTGCCCAATTATCTTGTTGCTTTAATTTGTAATCAAATTAGTTTTAGTTGCGTAATTTTTAGTTCAATTAGAATTAAGATTTTAATTGTTTGAATAAAACTAAATTGTTTTAATTTTAGTACTTAATAAAATTTTAGATCAATTCCCTGTGGGATCGATACTCTGCTTGCTAATATACTATCTATTTGATACGTATACTTGCGTAGTAGAATTTTAACTGACAATCCAACACAGGATATGGTCCTCAATAAAGCACAATGGCATTATATGATCCATATAGATGGAGGGGAAAGACATTTCTGATGATGGTGTCAAAATCAGAAAAGAAGAATGAAGAGTCAAGCAGTCATACACAATGATAAAGTCAACTTTCCACACTATTAAAAATGGAAGTGGAAAAATGAAGTATAAACTAAGGAGCACAAACTTCAGATTTCGGATCTTAATGACTGAAACTTAAAAAGTTCAGCTAAAAGAACAGTTCCCTCAATAATTTTTGACAGTATAAGATTAAGAGACATAAAAATCAAGGAAATATGACAACAGTAACATCATTAAATAATGCTTTACCCTTTTTTTCATGATCTGCAAATTTCAGCTTTGTAGGACTACGGCTTCCTCCATCTCGGAAAAAACGAGTCAGCGTAAAAACAACATCCCCAAATTTGGTGTAACACTGCAAAAGCAGAGAGGAATAAGCAGAATGCTTTAGATAAAGGGTTGTTCCATATGCCATAACTATACCTTAATATGAGGCTGTATCCAAAGAGATATTTGAGACTGACGATTAGGATGAGCAAACCTGTGAAGATGTCAGAAGATAAAGTAACCATAAAAGGAAAATGGATAACAAGTTGACAAAGTCAATGAGAACAAGGTTTCACAGTTGAAAATTCCTGAGAACCTCAACCTGACAATTCCTACTTTGAGTCCAAAAGGAACTGTGGCAACATTTTGTGTGAACAACAATCAATAATATATAGACCAGCAAACCAGTCAAAAGAACATCTCCAAAAAAAAGTTGAATATATATTCTGCGGGCACAAACTTCATATATAACAACTTCATAAACAATTCACAATCAGAACAATGGATGGATTCATACAAAACAAAATACTTGCTGAACCTCACTGCCCATGTTCAGAGCTCAGTTATCATTTTTCCAACCTTTGGAAAGTTTTTCCTTCTTACTTGCTCAGGTCTTAGGCTGATAAAGGTTAAATGAAGAAGTATGTCAAAGTTTGCAACTATGATGCTAAATTTAACAAAAGGATTGACACTAAGGAGAGCTGACAGGATTTTAAGTAAAATGTTAAATCAATACATAATAGGCAGAGAAGTGAACATGTTTAACCCCAGTTGGAAAAGAAAAGCAATAAAAGAAATAAATGTTTCCAAAGGAGAAGTTGAAGGGAACACAATGCAGAGAAAAGTGTTCACATTACACTTTCAAGTATTTATGACAACATGGACAAATATTGTCAATCACAAATCAAAAGGTCATAGAAAAGAAAACCTTTCATCACAAAAGATGATCGCCCCATAATCATGGCGGTGACGGATAACACGTCCGACTGCCTGATTTACAGCTCTTGATGCTTGTTGATTATACCACTCTTCTCCAGTTAACAACTTAAGCATCTGAAGAAATTAGTATGAAAATTGTTAACTTTAACAAATAAAAACATTTAAAACTTAAAGCTTGAAAGACATCTTTCCTCAAGCAATATCCGCATCACCTTACATCCTTCCCTGGGTGATTGTGTCTGTAGGTCCAAGTACTCACGTTTGAGACGAACCTGTCATATCATCTATCAGATTTGCGAGGAAAAGACAAAAAGGGAATGAGAAGGCTAATGTGGTATGTGCTTGTTTGTCAGAACTTGCATTCATCACATGTAAACACTCATGCACACATCTATAATAGCCAATATTAGCTATATAATGCTCATTCCATTGTTATAAATATAGAAAAAGGTGAAGCTCAAAAAAATTGAAAACTGTCAATGATGAAACTGGGGGAACAGGCTAAGGATGACCAAACCTTAGGGTCTGTCCTTGTGGCAAATGGCATCCCAGTGATTACTACAGCCCTTCCAGCGTGGTCAGCAAAATCTAATCCCTCACTGACCTGAAGAAATAGAAAAAGATCAATCATAGTAGACAAGGCTGAACTTTAGAAAGAAAATTAGGCACTACTGTAAATCAAACAACTTGTATAGTTCAAACAAAAAGCCTTTGAGAGAAAAACCCCAAGACACCACTAATGAAGACTTGCAGCCATGTAGACCCTGACACTAGCAAGATCTGCTGCCTGAGTCACTGCTTTTATTATCAATTACTATCAAAAATAGCACTGTTTATACAGATCTAATGAATCTGGAAGTGCGCATGAGTATAAATAAAGATGAAGTTGAGGAACGCAAGAAAATTACTCCATGAGTTATTCCAAGGTTTTGTGACATACACAAGGTGCAAAAACTTATTCACATATTTTGGAGGTGATGAATAATAGGTTAGTTTCGCTAAAATCCTGCATCTCATAACAATACAAAATGGGCTTCTCAGGGATGAGAAACCAGACAGAGTGCTACATAAATATTTTTGGAACGTTTATAACACAGCTATTTACCTTCTTGGAGCCAGCACCAGAGTCACCGATCACATATCACTGGACTCCAGAGGCCTTATAAAAAACCGGTATTTGCTGTTTGATAAAAGAAAGTAAAATCCTACTACACAGGAAGCATGTGAGAGAAGCTTGTAAAGCTGTATCACTAAAACCCTCAAACAACCTTCCATAATCACAATTTATAGCTGAAAGTAGCCAAAGATCTCTACAGTTCTTTTCTGTCACCATCAGACATGTCACATGTATAAGTCTAGCAGAGTGCAAGAACAAAAGGTTTGCTTTAAAGTTAAATGATAGCATACCTTGCCACGACAAACAGCAAAAAATACTGCACCAGATGTTGAAGTGTCCTTCAATTTACTCATATAGTCCTGCCGTAGAAAACAGACTAGTTATCTGCTATGAAGTCCTTGATTATGTTTAAAAAATACTAACTAAATTTTTCTTGTATCTGCTACCTCAATTGCCAGAGGAAACAGTGAAGATTGTCTAGGTTCAATAACAGGTTTCTTAAATTTGCACATTCTTTCCCATATTGTACTTGAATTTGCATTACCCTGCAAGGAGAAAGAAGATATATATATTTATGGAGCCAAGAGTAATGGACTTCACTTCCCCCTCTCCACTATGCTTGTTTCAAGGTCTTACCATGTTTTTCCAATAACTAATGCACTGGTCCAAAAGGTAGTAAGATGGAAAGAAAACAAGCAGTCCATCAGGTACAATTCGAGCAAAATTGACTGGAAAGAATTCAAAAAAAAAGCATTGTCATTGTAACTAATGAGGCAAATACAAAAACCTTTACATTGCCAATTGTCATAAATTGAAGCATAGGCTATAAGTTCCTGCACAACTTGAGCTGTGCCTCAAGCCTTAGGTTGTTAAAAATTGTGAACCACCTTTTTTTTTTATGAAGAAAGTTAGAAAGCCCACTTAGTTCAGGGCATTAGACCATAACTGGTTTTGGCTCATTTATACAATGTGTTCTTTGTTCTACAAAGTCTAGATCATTTCAATACGTCTACCCAGCATATTTTATCCAAATAAGTGTTCATATAACAATGACCTGGCAATTCCCATAGCATAGTTTATTGAAATAACAGTGACCTGCCCCTATCTCTATTTATAATAAGTTTCCATGCAATTATTTCTATCTACTGCAACACCATGATCAAGTTGCAGAGAAGCAATAGCCCTTCTACCATCAATAAGTGCTCATATTACTCATTTCATATTGAAAAGCTATGAAGAGATCAGTGGTCTAACACTAATTGTTTTAACATCAGCACATCAAACTCTCACCAATTATAATATTCACATACCAATAGCATTCCCAAGTTCTTGTTTGTATTCTGGAGAATCACGATTCCGGTAAGATGAATTGAAGGAGCGACCTGATGGACCAAGTGGGACAACTCCTGCCCATATCTGATCTGAGGATATTACATGAGGATTTTCCAACCGAACAGGAAAATCTCTGATTGCCAGCAAAAGAATTCTCTCTTTAGTAATTAATATTCAAGAAAACCGTAGCATAACAGATGTGGAAAAAATGAATCTATGCAACTTACAATTTCAATTCCTGCGCAAACGAATCCAAGGGAGATAATGTACCAGATGTCAACACAATAGATGCAACTCCCATTTTGGAGAACTCTTGCATAGCAATTCCTGGATTGAAGCACCACCAACTGAGTATCCTGGATGTCTTACCTGCCAAACGCAAATAGACAAAAAGATAATATAGTTTTACCAGAAGACATATCAAAAGATCAAAGTGGCCAGCCAGTTTCCAGGAACAGAACCTTATGCCTCCCTTATCTGCTTTTATTGTACTAAAAAGGCCATATTAAGTACATCAATTATTGTCATAAAGTAGAATAAATTCAGAGTAGAAAAAGGAAAACTATGGATTATGTTTTGTAAAAACTGTATAAATTTTGAGATAAACTTTACAACAAGAAAGAATGTGAACTTATAGTGCACCTTTCAATACACACAAGTCCTGCTACTTTTATCTGCTCATTTTGGTATATAGCAGGCTGGAAGGTGGAAAGTCCTCATCTTGTAACCAAATATTTTCTCTATTCTACACGAGCATAATAATCACGGTTTTGAATAAGATAGAAGGAAATACCAACAACCTTGTTACTAACAAAAAGATCCGACAACCAAAATACTGTTAGCTCCTCCAACATGTTGCCACTAAAATCACATGCATACACTAATAAACACTAGTTCTTTGTCAAAATATTGTTGTTTGTTTTTGCTAAATCCATACTGCATCCCAGTCAGTGCTTCATTTATATTAGGAAAACAGAAAGAAAAAGACCTTATTTCTTTATGTATTTCTTAACAAAATGAATATTCTTCATTAGGTTTCTAAAAAGGTAGTTTTCATTATACCCATTTGCCATATATTCACACCTGACAACCAAAGAATCAGAATGATATTTTAGCAATGTAAACATGGTTTAATAGAAAAGTAGGTTGAATCAAGCACTCAGGGAAATATACATATAGAACAAATAAAAGAGCAAAAATAAATTCCAATAATTTGGCCTCTGAATTACCTCTGAAGATATCTGTAGCATTTACCTCAGCCTCTTGCACATGAACCTGAAATAAACAGAAAGAAGTTAAAATTGCAGATGCCTAGTATAGGCATGAATAATATGGAAACAATGCCACTATAAAAAAAGACAATGTGAATGACAAGCTCCGCTTTATCGTGACTCTATTAATTCAAAGCGTTGAGTTGCAAGCTTACACGATAATAATCAGCATGATTATTGCCCTTATCTCTAAAAATACTTTTAAGGATGTTACCAATGCTTTCCAGCCTGCAGCCACTTCCCTTTGTGTCCTGCTGCTTATCTTCCTCAAGCAACATGGCAGCTTCCTCAATTATATCGATAAGTTTAGAAGCAGTTTCATGAGTGATATTGAGATCAGCAAGTAGCTCATAAATGTAAGGCCCAGGCTTGGTAAATCCAAGTTCCTTGGATTCAATGGGAACTTCAGCAATTCGCTTCTGAAGTTTCAAAAGAAGAGCTGCAAAATATGCAGAGTTTAGCCCTAAAGATATATCTGGTACTGATGTGTGTGTTTGTGTGTATAGATAGATATATATAGAATCTGTTGATGACAATTAGAAACACAATTAAGTTGAAGCTACCAGCAAAGGGACTCAAAGTATTTCTAGAAGCATAAAACCTTTAACTTAAAAAATCAAAACTTACTTAACAAAGGAGGAAAAACACAAACTCATTCCAGAACAACTAATTGCATTTGAAAATAGTGAAAGGTAGTAATTAGATGCATGCAAATGTATTTGTAAGAAGAGCAACATAGGTGCATTCTCAGTGTACCAATTTAATTACCTCTCAAGATCGCAAAGTTATCTGGATTCCTTGATTTATCATTTGATTCTTCTCGCCTCGCAACAGCTAGGTCAACACAATTTTTCGCTTCAGAAATGCATGCCGTCAGAAGTCCAGAAGACAAGTCAAAAGAGGCTGCATCAGCACAGATGCCTTCCTGCATCATATTCCCATAAAATCAGTAGTTAAGCTCCTGCAACACCATATGTTCTCTTCAAAATTTACACATAAGTTCCAGTCACAAATTTCATATTTTTTCCTTACCAGGTTGTGAGCTTCATCAAATATCAGTACGCTGTTGTGCCACTCAAGGTTAAGAGATCTTCTATAGTCATGATCTATAAGATAGTTGTAAGGTGCAAATAAAATATCAACAACCTTGTGGAGCTCTCGTGACACATAATATGGGCATCTACAAGATAAAAGTATTAAATAAATTAGCAAGCAAATATCATCAACAATAGCAACATTAACAATGGGGCCTCTAGAACAAGACATGCATTTCAAAAAGACAACCGTATGAAGTATGGAAAGAGAACACTACTGCAGAAACCTACGGCCCAAATCTTCTTCCAATATTCACCAAGTCCTCTATGTCAAGAGGTTCATCTCCAATATGAGGGTTGTTCTTCATGTATTCTACAATAAAAGCACAACAGTAATTAGCACCACCTGCACCTGAAATATTTCTAAACTAGAACTTCAAAAATGAAATTAGAGGGATGGTTGCTCAATTCATTGGACACAATATGACAAGTATAGTCCAGAAGACCAGAATACAACATTATCTAAACCCTTCCATGTTGTCCATATCAGAATGACCATCATCATGTAAATAAAATTGAAGAGACAAATCAAGCAGAAATTTAATCCATTTCTGCATTA